ATTTTGGATTTCTGAACCTCTGCGAGTAGAAGCTATTATACAAGCGTGTCGACATCACACAGCGCGGACAGGCCGTTGTTGGTGTTGTGGTAAAACGAACCTCGAAAACTGAATTATTGTTTGGAAGCTTAACAGCGTGGAAGGGTGTTAAAATCCTGAAACTAAATTTACATCGAGGTAAAGGTTTGACCTTGTTATAGGCATACGTGGCGAATTAAGAAAGGAAATATCGGTCCTTCCTTAAGGAACTTGAGCGTGCTCTTTTCGAAGTGCAGAATACGGAGTCCATCATTCTAACGGGTGATATCAATGATTCATGTCAGAGTAGACGCTGTGAAGTGGAAAAACGTGATTAAACAGCAGGCCCCAGCGGCCTCACCAGTAACGGCAGGTTGCTGATACAGACTGTCTAACATGAACACCATCTTAGAGCATGCATCAGCACACCTCGCAAATGGAAGCTTGTCTACACAAGCCGACAGTCGATTAGATAATCATATGTCTTATAAACATATATCATACCATGACTGGCATTTTCTGATTTTATGGCCATTACGGATTCATAACAGAGTATCTCCGTTTAGCATTGTAAGACGTCCAGATAATAGTAGCTCGCATCTTGAATAAAATTTTACTAACGACTTCAAGACGTCTCTGTCCAACCAAGCATGCACTTAAAAAAACAAATCTGAAATCTACTGGTCTAGGTCTGGTCAGCAAAAAAAGGATAGTAGGGTGTGAGCGATGCTTTCTGTTTGTCTGTCAGTCATCAATGTTTTGCTTTTTTTCTGCAGACATCAGATGGGAATAGGGAAACATGAGGATAGCAAACTAGACCATAAAAAATTAACGCCAACCCAATTAACACATCCGATGTTCTGTGACGAACATTGTCCGAAAATCGCCTCTATTATCATCCAATACTTTTGAAACACCTAAGCTACAGAAAAACTATAAATTACAATTGCAGACGTACACTATATTCAAGGATATAATGGGCACAAAAAATAGGATATAATGTGCAATGAAACTTAAAAAATAAAACTTTATAAAAATTCAAAAAAAAATTGTGAAACGCTAAAAATCAATCAAATAACAGAACACTATAAAACTGTAACACAACATTCGACCATACAGTAATGCAAACATGCAAATTGTCCTAAACATGTCCAATCTATCCTAATTTTATGGTTTGATACGGTGGAACTGTTATCAACTGTGAATGTTACATAATAAATTACAAAAATCTGGAAAGCTAATAGCTGCATAAATAACAGGGTTTACATTCCGCAGTATAATAAATAGTTTATGCATAATTTAAGGAACCCTGCAAGTCTAATTCTCTTATGTTAGAGCGCCTGAGGTTACACCATCATAAACAATCCGAAGTAAGAGAAAAGTATTGCACAAAACTCGATGTCGAAATCTCACGTGTTAAGTTCTGTTATTGTTACCATATGTATTATGCTTAGAATAACAGTGCAGCTTACTGATGTAAATCGTTTTGCTTATAAAAAAATGCTTCCATTGCCGGTGGGGTACGACTTATTTCTCGAATAAAATCATTTGTATGAAGATGCTGCGAATTGAATTCGCACATGCAGTTCACTGCAATTCTAAGAATTGATATCCGTTAATCGAAAAATGTTCATTTGACGCGCTAATCTGATGCTTGAATCCGGTTCCAATATAATTTTAAGATGCTGGAAGTCTGCTAGAATATCGCTTACTTAAAAATGTAAATAAGCTTTTGGAAATGTGGCCAAAAAAAGTTTACTACGGTGTCGTTTGATTTGCAATAAAGAATTTCTCTTAATTTGTACATTGCTGACTCCATTCAATAATTCCATGACAAGTCTCCGCAACGCTTTGGCGTTTAGTTTTGTGGGAATTAAATGCTTGCTATGATTACAGTTTGATGAGACAAATATCTAAAATTGCCTGGTAGCTTAAATGCAATTTCATGCTGGCCGGGTTCGTTATTCATATTCATTTCTAATGTGCTAAGCCTTAATCTTGTGTGATCTGGTTCACACAATTTCGTATAGAAACTTGAAAAATTTGAAATTATTTTGTATCAGACATCTTTGTAGAAAACATGTTTTAATCTGTTTACCTAAATTTTGTACTTCGCGATATCTCCTGTCGGATGACACTTATGCTACTCATTATGAATCAGATTACCGAGTGTTCGCTGGCTCTAACCATTCCTTTTTATGTATCTATGGTTCTCACTTATTTCATTCATTAATAATACATTATATCAGTCTGTCACCCTCGTTATTTTGTCCTCTTTCACGCAATGACGGCGTACAAGTGGCCGTCAACAACGTACCCGAAATGGCATACATTTAATGTATCGATTAAAAATAACAAAATAAATGGATTAAAACCATATGAACAGGGTAGATCATCAGTTGTGTTAATGTTGTACCGTAATACGCTATGAAGCTCTAAGCCATTTTTGTTGTTGGAAAAACATCTTTCGTTTTAATTCGTACTGAATAACTAAATGGCTGACAAACCGGTTTGCTTTGATCTTTCTACGTTAGTCTTGATTCTAGTCACCGCCATGCCCCACATGTGCCCTACCTTACAACATATATTTAACGCTGCACCACCTGATACAATTGAAACCGGCGTGCCCTTAAACTCAAACCTGTTCGAACAGAACTCGGCATTCCAATGAATGGATGATCACTCAACATTTGACTTTTCAGCCTGTGCCTTACTGCCGTGAGACGCAGTATGAACGCTTGTGAACCCAATACAACAATGAATCTATTCATTTAATACATACATTTCGGAGGAACTGAGTCAAACTATTTTTGAATTCAAAGCCAACCACTGTCGGTAGGCATGAAAATTTTTTAAAACGGAACGTTTTCATGCGTATCACGGGCATATCAAAAATGAATTACTTAATGACGACATCAATGTAGGTGCTATTATACTTACTGCACTGTTTATGACTAAGCATCGATAACTGCCTTTCCGTCTGCCCTGTTAAAATCTAAATGGTGATTAGGTTATTGCGGGCAAGGTTACTACCCATTCATTTTGGCCCAATGCTCACATAAGTACAATAACAAAGACTACCATGCTACGCGCGCTTCGGTACTAACGATAACAGTCCCCAGCCACACAGCCACGTACAGTGATAAATCCTGTACCAAGTTATGCAACGGGTTGAACCGAAAAGGGACACACTACAACCTACACATCACAGACGCGCAAGTTCTATAACCAGCATCACTTATGACCCTTTCAGAGCGTTCACTTCTACTGTCGCGCATTAAGGAATTCCGTCGTGGTCACACCATGATTCGTACATTTAACAGAGGAAAGAACCTGTTCAAAAATCATCTTTGTAATAATTTGAAAATGACTGACCGTAAAACCAGATAAAAAATATGTAAAATACTGCATATTTTTGCGTTGGCGCAACTTTTAGATATTGATAAATTTCAAACAACTTTCCTACCTTCCTTAGAGTAAGGAGCATCGGTTATACTATACAAATACCCCAACGGACTCAACATCAGATTTTTTTCTGTGAAGGCTTACACACTGGCGCTGCCACTTCACCACCCGTCAAGATAAATGACCATGGAAACTGCATGCTCTCGCTAACCGTTTGTGACATGTTTACAAAGAAAGAAACTACATCACAGAATTTGGTCTGTTGCAATCCTCTACTTTCTCAATGACGGCTTTCCACGACATAAAGAGCGATGACAATAACTGATCCACAGACGGCACTGCTGTTGGACAAGGTTTCTGATCAGAAAGCACACCTGAACAAAAAACCATAGACGGGTTAAGTCGTAAATGCCGAGCTAAATGTTTACAAATTTCATAAAAATACAAAACGAAACAACAAATCATTTTCTATGTCTGTGTCGCTGATCTTTACTCTTGTGACTTCGTTTGTGCTTACTACTGCTGCTGCTCTTCGTCGAATCTGCTTTTCTTTTGTGGGAGCCGTGTCTGGCGTAAGTTAGTGGCAAATCAGGGCTATAATTCTTGTCTGGCTTCCTGTGAGGCTTTTCAGTTTTTGGTCCCTGATTTCTGGACAAGTCTCCATCGTTTTCAATATCTGATGGCGCAATTTTTACGTCATTGCCAGGATCTTCCTCGCTCTTCCGCAATTTACACAAGAATAAACGAGCTCGAATCCTACGGTCGGATTGTAGAGATTTTAGCACAGCTTTACCGTTAGGGTTTTCCAAGGTGTCCGTGAAAAAAGACTCTATCAGTTCGTCTGTAGCGTTTTCCTTTGGGGTGCTTCTATTGCCCACGGTGCTCGACGTGGGTGAAGACTCGTGTTTTGCATCAGCAGTACCGTTGAATTCTACAGACGATTCTTCTGCTGAAGCAACTGTGATTTTAGATGAAGCTATGTGGTCTTCTGCGATCTTAAAATCATCTGAAACATTGACAGGAGAAACAACTGCTGGTGCACTGGAAGTGGTAGAAAGCGAAACGGAAATAGGGGACAACGGTTCAGGAAGCGGCAACGTCGAACTTTGCCGCTCATCATCGCTGTCGTCACCTAAGGCACACGACACTGGTTTAAGCTTTGATGCACATTCCTGCTTCTCCTTCGGCTTGATAGAAAACGAGATCGAGACCGAGCTGGGTTTGTCCAAGGGCTTAAGGTCATTCGTTGTTACCTGTTTCTTTTTGTCCTAAAATTTTAAATAAAAACCATATGCGAATAAAACACTAGAGCAAAACCATTACCTCCGTCGGAGCAGGTTTCGTCACCTCTGCCGAACACCATGGATGGTCGATCACTGGTTTAATTTGAGTCTGAGCATTTTCTACACATGACATTGTGACCGTCGTCTGCAGACCTTTAATCTCTTCTGAGCTCGTTATCGTTTCTGGTTCTGCCGGTTCATTACCGAACCATTCGCCAGCCCCGTGGTAATACTTTGTCATATAGTCTTCGTATTGATACCACCGCACCTTCGCTTGATAATACCCATAGTACGGGTTGTCCGGCTCAATGAACACAAATCGTGGGTCCTGCTGAAGTCTGACTATGTTTTCAAATTCTACGCCGTTTCTTGCCACGTACTCTGCCAGACGGTCGACGATTGGTTGGACATCAGGAGGCGGTGGAATAATAGCCGCTACCAGCTTATCGGCAGAATCTGCTGAGCCGGCTGCTTCCTCGTTCTGCGGAGTCATGGCCTCACCATTGGCACCCGTACTAGTACCATCCCTTGGCGCTGAATCCTGCTTGGCCAGTGTCGGAAATACAGCTGTCAGTCTGTTGTACAGCTGGGAGTACATGTCGTTCTCTTGACCCAACTTGTAGCTCGGCCTTGTCGGTGGCTCACTTATCGTGAAGTTGGGCGTGGAATGCGAATCGTGCATAACGGTGCCGGGCGATGACACTCCGTTAGGTATATTAATGCTGCCTCCTGCGAGCAGACTTGGATGCAGGTAGGTTCCATCATCATCCTCGTCGCTGCTAGAGACTAAAAATTTAAACCTGATTATGTCCGTGCAAAGACGGTAACACATGTATACAAAAGGCTTTCGACCTCCATGACTGAAACCGCACATCTAAGTCTCCTGCTTTTCTTGGACACTGTCACCCTATAGAGGACTTCACAGTTTGAAAGAAGCTCTTAAGCAGCTTTAGATTACGCTTATTTGCATGCCTGTGTAGTATACTCATTTACCTATACTTCATTACTGGTCCAGCTGAGAGCAGCTTAGCTTAATGACATCTCACGAACAGTTTGCAGACGCTGAATATGAGCATCGTTTGTTAAACTGGCGACCTCATGACATAATGACTAGTCATGAGAGCAAAAGACAAATATAAATAAATATCTGCAGGCAGAAGTGGTACTTACTTTGAATTTGAAGCAGAATTACAATAAACTGTAGAGAAAGTCAACACAGCTGACAAATAGTTCGGCTAGTGGATCAATGAGGCAGACAGAGTGATAACAGTAGCAAGAAAACAAAGTCCACTAGCAAAGAAATGGATGGTTCTGAAAATAAGGAAATCACTGAGTTATTAGATCTTGGTTCTCCGCTGGATTGGTGGTTGCAGGACCGTGGTGACTGCAGGACAAAGGCGACATATTTACGAAGAAAAGCTGTAACTGATCAGAAAATGGCAAACTCCCAACTACGGGAGCGTCAAGAAGCTCATCAAATGTTTCATCGGATTTGTAGTAAACTAAGAATGTGAAAGTTCAATGCTCAGAGATGTAGAACGCAAGACCACTGAAGCATCTGAGATGATGTTCACTTAATTTATTACTTGCAGCAAAGGGTTACGGCATCCCAGCGCTCCTTGTCAGTTCTTTGCGATGCTTCCTATTACGTGTAATATCCAATATAATTGCAAGTCAATTTTTGTGCCAGACACGGCTTGCAGTTTGTCGACAAGGGCAGCCCAGCTCTTTATCAGTTCATCTATGATACTATTCAACCTCAAATTTTTAACTTGTCTGCCGGCCTTTTGCAGCAAGGCTCTCGCGCACTACGAATTATGACCATGATCAGTCGCTTGCTGCTCTGTCTGTAGTGCATGGCCGAATAGGGAGGGATTGTTTTTTTTTGCTTCAGTATAAGGAAAACCGATACTAGTTTCTGA